GGGGAGGTGACAGGCACACTGTCCAGGGCAGGTGCTGGAACACCCTGGCCTCCCAGCCTGCTCCAAGAGGGCACCATCCCCGCCTTGATGTGTGGCCCAGGGTGAGGCTGTCTCTCCTCGAGCGAGGATGAAATGGGTCCATTTTCAGGTATGGATCTAGAGTTGCTGGGAAGAGGTGTGACCGTGACTTCCGAGGGCCACCTGCTAGTAAGCATCAGGACAGAGACAGGGACCCCAAGTACAGGTTTTCTTCTACTTTTCTTTTTAAGACAAGGTCTCACGGTGTGGCCCAGTCTGGTCTCATACTCATGGTGATCCTCCTGCCTCAGCCTCCTGAATGCTGGGATCCCAGGAGCGTACCACCACACCTGGTTCAGGGCTTTTCTGTTTAACCTGCCTCCTCCTCCCTTATTCAACATCCCCAGGCTCTACACCGGGTGGGCAGTGGGGATCAGTGTTGGGGAAAAAATGAACCTAGTGGCCTGACTGTGACCCTTGCTTATGTCCCCACTTCCCTCAGCCAGCTGGGGGCCAGGGACCAGCTCTGCCCCATGCAGCGCAGGTCACAGTGAGGCCCAGGGTCCCCGAGAATAACTGTGGCTGCTGATCTAGGAGGCAAGAGGGGCTGGGAGGGCTGGGCCAGCGGCTAGCAGAAGCCACATTAACAATTAAAGTCCTGTGCCTCCATCCCGCCCTTGCTGCATGAAATATTCAGGCACCAGGGGGACTGGTTTCACATCTCTGCCGTGGGCTGGTGCGGTCAGCGGCAGTACTGCCGGGTGCAGGGTCTGACGAGGGAGGTTCGCAGCAGACACCTGGAGACAGGTGGACTTGGGATTCCCTGTTTCAGGGGTTTTTGGAGATAGGACCTCTACTTTGTGTAGCTCAGGCTGGCCTTGAACTCACTGTATAGCACTGGCTGGCCTCAAATTTTTGATCCTCTTGCCTCAGCCTCCCAAATACTGGGATCATAGGTATGCACCCCCACACCCAGCTTATTTTTTTTTGGTTTTTAAAACTGAGGAGAGGGGTGCTGCTTCTGCCCAGAGGGCAGAGGCCAGGGATGCTGGTAAACCCCCCCACACTGCATAGGACTGCCTCTCACCCCAAAAGACTTACTAGATGTCAAATGGCCCACACTGAGTTTGAGAAGCTGGTATACAGCTGTGGGGAGGACAAATCAAGCTACTTGTGCCAACATCCTGAGAGCACAGCAAGCTGTGAACCAGCACACCAGGCGCGATACTATTTAAATACGCTTGAAGAGCTCGCACAGTCCAACACTGTACCGTAAGGGAGAGGAGACACGGGAGTCAGTGCAGGAGCAATCAGCACAGACCCTACCGGCCCTGGGGTCCAGGAGGGCTGGGACAGGAGGCAGGAATGGTTGTGAGGGCCCCCAAACCTGAGGCAGTGAACTTCCGACCCTAGAAGGGCTGATGGTTCCCCTAATGTGGTTGCTACGGCAGTGCAGGGGAGGGGTTAGAATCCCGGGCACTTCCAGCGTGCCAGGACGTGGCTGGCTAGCATCATGGTTGCTGTGGTTACCTCTCAGAGTCCGGGGGGAAAGGACCACACTACCAAACTCGCAGGGCATCCTCCACCCAGACCCATGGCCTGACCCCTTCCTGACTCTCCACGCCCAAGTACCTGCCTGTGTCTCTGAATCCACCTTGCTCAGCCTGGGCCTTTGCTGGTGCTGTCTCCTCCTCCTCCTCCTCCTCCATCATCTACCCACTCCCAGCCAACCTTCAGGCTGTGTCTCCTCCAGGCTACCATCCCCAGGGCCCCAGGGAGGTTCCCATGATGACACGTGTTGTACCATTTACTAACCATGATGTGCTGCATCATGTGTGTAGCTCAGGCTGGCCTTGAGCTCACTATGTAGCCCCGGCTGGGCTCAAATTTTTGATTCTCCTGCCTCAGTCTCCCAAATACTGGGATCATAGGTATGCACCGCGGGCATATTACCATATATATATATTACTACCATATACATTACCATATATATATTACTACCACATACATATTACCATATATGCTGTGTGTTTAGTAGACTGCTAAAGTGACAGTGGTCAAGGCGTTGGTTTCTGGGGCTGTTTCCTCATCTTTGAACCGAGGGCTTCAGACTTAGTCATGCACTGAGAGCCAGTGCTGAATCGGGTCTGAGCTCCTGGCTGGCCACAGAGAGGTGAGAGCGCCCCTTCGCCTTGCGGTGGCAGGACCGTCTGTCTGCTTGCTCCCAGGGGGCTCCTGTGACTGCCTCCCTGCTCTCATCTCCACATATTTTGTCTGCTGTGGGTTGCATATTCGTTCTCAGCCCTAGCCACCTCTCCAAATCTTCGTACAGCTCTGGACAGACCTGATTCATGGTGGGGCGCTGTCTGTGTTTTAAGACTCACAGCAACTTTCCTGAGCATCTTGAGAATTACCGTGTTGGAGCTCCACGATTGGGTTTTACCATTTTCATGTCAAAGCACAGTTCCTCGTGACCAAAGGGCTAAAAACACAGTGTCACTTGACATCCGGGATCTAGGCTGCGCTGGACCCCGAGTGTTCCGGGGAACGCAGCACCTCCGGTGGGAGCTGAGGTCCAGGGGCCCCCAGGGAGGAGCTCTGGCCGGGACACCCCTCTTGCTTCAGGATCCAGGGTCAGCCCCGGGCCCCTCACCTTCTGCCCCAGGATGTGCAGCTGTGGGCAGCAGGAGGTCCTCCCTCAGCCCCCGGTAGCCCCACCTGGTCTTGGCTGCACCTGAGAATGTTAGCAAAGCCTGGAGGGTGCTGCGAAGGTTCTTTTGGTCTGCAGTGTGCAGATGGTGCAAACAGACCCTGTCTAGAGGAGCCTTCCTTTTTGTCAGAAGCTGTCATCCTGGCCGAGGGATGGGGGCAGGCTGCAGGCACCACCGCCGTGGCTGGTGGGGAGAGGGGTCTCCAGCCAGCCTGGCTGTGCCCTGGTGTCTCCCAGGAGTCTCCCTGGGCACTTATTTGCACCCCCATCCTCTCCTGACTGTCTTCCTTGCTTCTTCTTGCGGCCCCATCCCTAATCCACATGTGTGAAAGGTGAGCCAGGCCTGCTGCTCCCGCCTAACCCAGCGGCTTTCCCAGCTGCTTAGGCTCCCTGGAGCTGCCCTCTGCCCTCACCGCACCCTCTCCCCACCCAGGAAGACCCACTGGCCTCCAAAGGAGCTGTTCCTCCGCAGGGAATGCCCTTCCCCTGTGCCTTTGTCCTGTCACTCACATCTCTGGGCACTGCTCTCCCTAGCCGCTGGGAGGAAGGCAGCTGACAATCACGTTTTGTGACAGCAGCCTGCCTCAGTTCCCCGCACAGCACTTAGGGCACTCTTACGGTTATCTAGTCTGTTTATTATCTTCTCTCCCTCCTCCTCCCAGAGCGCTAAGTACCCTCCAGAGGCCAGTGGCCTCCTGCCAGGTCATGTCCCGGGCGGAATCCCCCAAGCTGGGAGTGGGTGGGGCTAGAACAGGTCCGGCAGAGCTGATGCCAGGCACACAGTTGTTCCGGGAAGGGTCGTGCAATTGTCAACGGGGTCTTCAGCTGCTACGCGGGTGCGCGCATCGGGCCGTGGGCAGCTCACGGACGCGCGCGAGGGTTTTCATCTCCGTGTGGGTGTAGGGGGGCAGCTCCTCAGTCAGCCCTCAGCACACGCGCGGTAAATGCGCTTTGGGGACGCCAGGATAACAGGACTTACTGGCCGTGGGGAGGCCCGTTGCCCGGCACCGCTGCTGGGGTGGGCTGGGTGACCGTCGGCCGCCCGCTGGGTGCCCCGAACCCCAGGGGTTTGCGTCTCGCGGATCTCAGATTTTCCTCTGATCCCGATCCCGGGGATGTGGCAGTGCAGCTGAGCTCTGCGCCCGCTCCAGGCGAGGGGCAGGTCCCCAGGGCCCATGCTCCATCGGGGTCGGGGACAGGGACAGGGACAGAGTCCGGGTAGGACTCAGGCCCGGCTGGCACGCGGATGCGGATCTGTAGTCCGGAACCGGGAGGGGAAGCGCGGAGTCGCCGCGCGCCCGGGCGGGGAACCCGGGTGGAGAGGGGCGGAGGGGTCTGGGGGCAGGAGAGGGACAAAGAGCGCCCTGCCCGACCCCGCGTCCGAGTCCTATTGTTCGTCGCATCTCCGAATGCGCCGAATGCTGGTGTCCCCAGGAGGGAGCGGGGAGCTGTCGCGCAGACCCTGGGTGTTTGTTTATGAGGACGAGAAGTGGGGGGAGGGACACAGGCCGGGAGGGGGCTCCCGCCTAGGCCAACGTCGCCTTTAAGGGAACCCGGCCCTACCTTTCCACCCCCGCCCCCTGCAGCCGTACCTGCATTTTAAACGCGCCCTGGAGCCCTGGGATTGGCCGAGGCCTCGTCCTCCGGGCGCAGAAACTCTAACCGCTGGGAGGGGGTGGGGGCCCGGCGCGAGGACTAAACCATCGCGCGGCGCCCCCACGCGACCCCGCCCCCCTGCACACCCCCGGAGCCGCCCAATCGCGCGCGCGCGGGGGCGGG